GCCGTACCGTCCCGCACCGTACCGCACCGTACCGTACCGCACCACGCCACACCGTACCACGCCGCACCGTACCACACCGTACCGTACCGCACCACGCCGTACCGCGCCGTACCGTACCGCACCGTACCGCACCACGCCACACCGCACCACACCGTACCGCACCGCGCCGTACCGTACCGCACCACGCCGCACCACGCCACACCGTACCAAGCCGCACCGTACCACACCGTACCGTACCACGCCGCACCGTACCGCACCACGCCGCACCAGGCCGCGCACCAATGACCCAGAATTCATGACTCGATACCAATCGTTTGATTTCTGATGGAATCCATTTGAATGAAGGACTGACGGATCAGCAGAACCAGAACTAGAGCTGGAACCAATGAACACACCTAGGAATGTCACAGAGCCCGGTGGGACCCAGTAGAACCATGTGGAACCCGGTAACAGTTTCAGAATGAGAGCCTACTGATCCGATGTTCTTGTGTTCCAGAACGGAGAAGAACCCAGGTGACCTTCGCCTCGAGGGATGAAGATGACTCCTCCTCCTCCTCCCCTCGTCGTCCAGGCAGCCAATCAGAAGAGAGGATTTCTTGTCGTTTCCTGCTACCTCATCAGTTTCTCTGATGTTTTATTTCTTTGTTTGGGGAATTTTTTTTCTTCTTTTCTTGTTTAATCCGACCAGAAGGAGACGAGTTCCGGGTCGGTTCTGATCGGCGGCCCGGACCGGGTCGCCGCCTGGCCTTTAGATCCAGTTTTTATCTCTGGACATTTATTCTGTTTCTTTCTTTCTTGGAACGTTGCTGTGATCCCGGGGGAAGTGCTGCTCATGGACCGGATCGGAACCGACCCACTTCAGGGACTTTTCTTTATTTCTGACGGCACTTTATCTTTAAGCTTTGCACTTTGGATCGGAACCGATCGAAGCAGAACCTTGAATCAGACAAGATTATTCACAATTTAATGATTTATATGATTAAATCTTTATTTGTATGTTCAGAACACATGGAGAACTTTGTTTAGGACAGAACCAGTACAGATGAAGTTCTGTGTGAAAGTCCAGTTTCTATGGGACCCGAACGGACCTGGTTCTGGCTGTGATTCTGATGATTTCTTGTGAGAATAAAGGACCAGATGGAAACACTCGGACTGTTCTCCGTGTGCCTCTGTTCCAGAACCGAGGTCCGGTTAGCGCTTCTGATGAAAACAACTCTTTGGTTCTTCAGAACCAGACTCGGGTCGGTCCAGGTCAAGGCTGGACTTGGACCTTCAACACTCTGACAGTTCTGGATGAGAGTCAGAATGCACCAGAACCAAACTTCCTGTATCGGACCCAAGATCAAAACCAGGATCAGACCCAGAGTCAGCCCCCCTGATTCTGGTTCTGGTTCTGGTCTAGTCGGGCTGGAAGGCGTTGTTGTCGGCGCTGGTGTCGCCCTGCAGCCGTCCCAGCAGGGGGCAGCAGCTCTTCCTCCTGGACTGGGTAAGGACTCAGCAGAGGAAGCCGGAGGGGGCGGAGCCACGGTGGGCGGAGCCACGGTGGGCGGAGCCAGGGGGGGGGGCCAGCCTTCCTCAGCAGTCGGGGCGTGCTGCGGCCACTGCAACTGCACAGAACCGGGTCAGAATCTAGCCAGAACCGATCGTAGTGCGTCTGGTCATCAATACCTGGTGCAGCCACAGGGGGCGCTGTGCATCTGAACCATGGCAGGAACAGAACCCCTCCTCAGCAGAGTGGGCGTGGCTCCAGATGAAGCTCCGCCCTGCAACACAGAGACTGTGACACCACCACCTCTGAGCCAACCTGCTGCTGAGGTTCTGGTCAGCCACACAGAGACCCAGATCTCACCTGTCCTCATCAGCGACAGGAAGTGAGGGAACAGGAAGTAAAGGACACAGGAAGTGAAGATCTCAGGTGTGTGGCCTGCTGGTTCCACTCCTGTCTGCTCACCCACAGCCCTCGGAGCTGTGAGCCCAGAACCTCCATGAACTCTGGAACTTCTGACCCGGTTGGGTTCCCATTCGGAACTGGATCTCTGGTGGATCTGTAGGTCTGGATCACATCAGGAGAACCCAGAGGGAGAGAACAGGACTTCCTGTGGATCCGTTAGCCGCTTCCCTCCATGAGGACACCGCTCAGTGATCTGTCCAATGAGTCTCATGGATGCCGTCGTCCATTCAGGTCCTTTCAGATTAAGAGCCACTTAAGAGCTTCAGAGTTTCTTAGTAACTGACCTGAGCAGGAAAATACTGACTTAGCTCTGCTATGGCTAACATTGGCTGCAGCTGCTAACAACATGCTAACAGATAAACAGATGTGGTCCAGATGTTCACTTACTGATAACCACACACTAATCAGCTAACAGCCATGTGTGTGTGTCCAGGTGTGTGTGTGTGTCCAGGTGTGTGTGTGTGTCCAGGTGTGTGTGTGTGTCCAGGTGTCTGTGTGTGTCCAGGTGTCTGTGTGTGTCCAGGTGTGTGTACCTGCACCAGCTCCACGCAGGCCGATGTGAAGTATCCCTCCTCTCCGTTCTTCAGGCGTCCGAACCAGAACCTGGATCAGGTCTCCTGGTTCCAGGTCCAGTTCCCTGGGCCAACGAGACCGGTACTGATTGGTCACCACCGCCACCTGATAGATCAGATCAGAACCGGATGTGACTGAGTGGTCTTTCTCCAGTTTTGGATCAGATTTCTCTCTGATCTGATTCCAATAATTGATCTGATCAGTTTCCATCTTTCTGCTTCATTCCACCTTAAAAACCTCCAAGAACTGGAGAACCGGACTGGTCGCTGATTAGACATTTACGGCTAAAAAAGATTTTAAATATAAAGATTTTTTACATTCCAAAGTCATCGCTGGAGATATTTGGCGGTTTTAATGTGTTTTTTTATGACTTGTTGAATATGGAGCAAAATTATACAGGAAATCTACTCCATCTTTAAGTTTTAATACGATAAAATTTGATCTAACAAGGATGAAGAGTTAGATTATGATATTAGTGATTTATCGCTTTCTAAAAATCACCTCCATTTTTAAAGTGAAATAATTTGATTTGAGAGAGTGATTAAACATTGCAGCATTTAATCTATTGTTCCCATTTAATGGAGGGGGAACAGATTATTTCAGACAACTGAAATATCCATTCTCTCCTCCCCCCATAATTTTGGAAAATAAAGAGCAACTGTTTCCAAATTCTCAAAGATTATGTGTGATAGCATGTAGTATACTAGAAATTTCCTCCATCCAGTAATCTGTCAGATTTTACATTAGAACTAGATTTACCAGAAAGTTTACACTCTCTTCTTTTCAGGAAGTCTTAATTGTTGGTGCCCTGTTATCAGCCTGTTTCTATCGTCTTATATCAGGAATGAAAAATTATAAACACACACAACGTCTTGCAGGGCCGTGCAGAGGCCACTACAGGGGCAGGGGCTCAAAGGGCCCATCTAACCTCCTTCTAGGACAGAATATTAAAGCCTCTCAGCTTTCAGAGTTTAATAAACAATGATAAATTACAAAATTGTGA